ATTGATTACCCTTATCAACAAAGCCAATTTGTACAATTATACAGTTAATGAGCCTGCAATGCTTTTATAGAAACTGAAGTACAGTGAGAAGTTAATAGGTACATAAAGTGCACTTAATGTACCTAATTAGTTCAGCACTTCAATTTGTTTTTAGGTTTATCAGACACGCAGCAACATGATGCAAGACTTGAATAGACCAGGTTGTCTACGCTGAATGAGTTATACAGGAGGGCCTTTTAAATTAATAAATAGACAGCTGACACTTAACAAAACATTTTAAATGTTTATCATTGGCAAGATGTTTTACATGCTTAAAACATTTGTTGAAACTTAGTTGCTGTAGATGTTATCCTAAATCCATTGATTGAGTCCTGGGTGGCCATCCCATGGCACATGTCAATGTCTTGGGCAGCCTCCCTGTGTGGTACACATCAGACCAGGTCGGGAGTTGAAAGCAGAGCACAGATCAGGCAGGGGATTAGAGTGACACTCGGCAAGAGTGTGGAGTTTACCTTGTGGCACACCTGCCAAAAACATCAACCCCGTTGGATTAGGTGATAGAGGCTTGTGAAAGACTGCAGTAGCTTTATGGTACTGACTGTTATCTAGATGCTGTAGCAAATTTCTCATTAAAATAGCCTCTGCGTTGACGATGGTTAGTGATGTTGAAAGCCAAAAATGCAGTTCATTAGACTATGGTATGGGCAGCTAGAATAAACTTTCTCTAATTTGTAAACTGAGTGGATTTTATGTACCAGTCTTGAATGAGAAGTAGTAGAGAACACAAGGCAACACTTTTCTAACAGTTGCTATTCAGGCCATTGCTATGTTTTATTAAACTATCACATGCCTACTTTACAGTCCAGGCTCACCTTCCTTGCCAAAGAGAATTCTTTGTTTTACCAGGATAATGATGAGGCCCATTCCACGCCTTTGGGGGTAGGGGTTGTCCAAGGATTGTTCATTGTTTGTCCAGCTCTAGTGTTTAGAAATGTGGTGTCCTTTTAGTTACTCTTAACTAGTGTTAACTGTTACTTCCATTTTTAAAACCCATACTGTCAGAAGTTCAGATTTTATATTAATTTTCCCTAGGTTTGCATAAATTCCTCACTTAACAAACGAGGGCCAAATCTCATTATTTCACATCACGTCTTCCTCCATCTCCCAATAGCTTCTACATTGTCAAACTTAGATTGTAAAAGCTTTCAGACCTGTCATCTTTGTCTGGAAAACAGACAAAGGTGTGGGTATAAACTGTTCATGAAGTACGGGCAGGGGAGAAGAGAAGGAGGAATTGCACTTTTTATGTAAAAGAGCCATATGATTGCTCAGAGCTCCAGTATAAAACTGGAAATAGGCATGTTGAGAGTCTCTGGGTTAGGGTTCAAGGGGAAAGCAACAAGGGTGATGTCGTGGTGGGGGTCTGCTGTAGACCACCAGACCAGGAGGAAGTGGTGGACGAGGCTTTCTTCAAACAGGTAGCGGAAGCTTCTTGATCACAAGCCCTGGTTCTCATGGAGGACTTTAATCATGCTGACGTCTGCTGCGAGGGCAATACAGCAGTGCACAGGCAATCCAGGAAGCTTCTGGAGAGTGTTGGGGACAATTTCCTGGTGCAAATGCTGGATCAGCAAACTAGGGACCATGTTCTTCTTGACCTACTACTTATAAATAGGGATGAATTGATGCGGAATGCAGTAGTGGATAGCAACTTGGGGAACAGCGACCATGAGATGACTGAGTTCAGGATCCTTAGGAAAAGAAGGATGGAAAGCAGTGGAGTAAGGACCCTGGACTTCAGAAAAGCAAACTTCAACTTGCTCATGCAGGATCCCCTGGGAAACCAGTCTGAGGGGGAAAGGAGTCCAGGAGAGCTGGCTGTACTTTAAAGAAGCCTTACTGAGAGAGCAAGAACAAACCATCCCGATGTGCAGGAAGACTAGCAAGTATGGCAGAAGACCAGCAAGTATGGCAGAAGACCAGCTTGGCTTAGCAGGGAACTCTTCAGTAAACTAAATCACAAAAAGGAAGCTTATAAGAAGTGGAAACTTGGACAAATAACTAGGGAAGAATATAAGAACATTGCTCAGGCATGCAGGGATGAAATCAGGAAGGCAAAAGTACAAATAGAGTTGCAGCTAGCAAGGGATATAAAGGGTAACAAGAAGGGTTTCTACAAGGATGTTAGCAACAAGAGGAAGGTCAGGGAAAGTGTGGGTCCCTTACTGAATGGGGGAGGCAGCCTAGTCACAGGATGCAGAAAAGGCTGAAGTACTCAATGCCTTTTTCACCTCAGTCTTCACAGGCAAGGTCAGCTCCCAGACGACTGCACCTGGCAGCATAGTTTGGGGAGGAGGTGAGCTGCCCTCAGTGGCAAAAGAACGGGTTAGGGACTATTTAGAAAAGCTGGACATGTACCAGTCCCTGGGGCCAGATGGGATGCACCCAAGGGTGCCAAGGGAGTTGGCCGATGTGATTGCAGATTAGCTTGCCATAATCATTGAAGACTCATGGCAGTCGGGAGAGGTCCCAGATGATTGGAAAAGAGTGAACATAGTGCCTGCATTTAAGAAAGGGAAAAAGGATCTGGGGAACTACAGACCAGTCAGCTCACCTCAGTCCCTGGAAAAGTCACGGAGCAGATCCTCAAGGAATTCATTTCTAAGCAGGGGGGGCGGGCAGTGATTAGGACCAGTCGGCATGGATTCACGAGGGACGAGTTATGCCTGACCAACCTGATTTGCCTTCTATGATGAGGTGACTGGCTCTGTGGATGTGGGGAGACCGGTAGATGTGGTGTACCTTGATTTTAGCAAGGCTTTTGATATGGTCTCCTACAACATTCTTGCAAGCAAGCTAAGGCTGGATGAATAGACTGTAAGGTGAATAGAAAAGTAGCTGGAGCTTTTGGGCTCAGAGGGTAGTAATCAATGGCTTGATGTCTAGTTGGCATCCAGTACCAAGTGGAGTGACCCAGGTGTTGGTCCTGGGGCCAGTTGTGTTCAATATCTTCATCAATGACCTTGAAGATGGCACAGAGTGCACCTTCAGCAAGTCTGCAGATGACCAAGCTGTGGGGAGTAGTAGATAGACTGGAGGGTAGGGCTAGGATTCAAAGGGACCTAGACAAATTGGAGGATTGGGCCAAAAGATAACTCATGAGGGTCAACAAAGACAAGTACAAAGTCCTGCACTTAAGGGCAAAGCAGTCCCATGCGCCGGTGCAGGCTGGGGCTGACTGGCTGGGCAGCAGCTCTGCAGAAAAAGCCCTGGGGAGTACAGTGGACAATCAGCTGAATATGAGCCAGCAGTGTGCCCTTGTTGCCAAGAAGGCTAACGGCATACTGGGCTGCACTGGTAGGCGTGTTGTCAGCATGTCAAGGGAAGTAATTATGCTCCTCTGTTCAGCACTATAGTGAGGCCACATCTGGAGTACTGTGGTCTGATTTGAGCCCCCCCACTACAGAAAGGATGTGGACAAGTTGGAGAGAGTCCAGCAGAGAGCAATGAAGATAGTCTGGGGCAAATTACTTCTGAGGAGAGGCTGAGGGAACGGCTTATTTAGTCTAGGGAAGGGAAGACTGAGAGTGGATTTAATATCAGCCTTCAACTGCTTGAAGGAGGATTACAAAAAGGATGGAGCTGGCCTGTTCTCAGTGGTGGCAGATGACAAAACGAGGAGCAATGGGCTCAAGTTGCAGCACGGGAAGTTTAGGTTGGATATTGGGAACAATTTCCTTACTAGGAGGGCAGTGAAGCACTGGAACAGGTTACCCAGAGAAGTGGTGGAATCTCCATCCTTGAAGGTTTTTAAGGCCCAGCTCAACCAAGCCTTGGCTGGGGTGATCTAGTTGGGGTCCTGCTTTGAGCAGGGGTTTGGACTAGATGTGACCTCCTCAGGTCCTTTCGAACCCTAATTTTCTATGATTGTATGATTCTGTGATTTAGGAACCTGTATACCACACTTGCCACTCAAACAGGCAGGTTTGAGGACATTGGATGCATCTACACAAGACACTTACTGTGGAGTTGCCTAATTAGCTCCGCAGTACAGTTTCACCGTCTACCTAAACGGTACTATTAAGACAGAGTAAACTAATTCACTCTATTGTAGGATAGTAGTGCCCAACACAGGTACTACTCTACCGCAGAGTTATTTTACTCTACCACTTGTGTAGACAGCAACCATGTCTGGCTAGGGCACAAAGGTGCTACAATATTGGGCTGCCTGCTGGCTAGCCCCACCCTGTAGCACCTTTGTGCCTCAGCCAGCCCCTCTGCAGCACGTTGAGCTGGGTCAGAGCAGCCCCAGGCTGACCTCTCCCTCCACCCGCCCTCAGGCCTCTTGCTAGCCAGGGCCATGCTGCCCTGGTCCAAGGTGCTGTGGTCCTGGGTGCATGTGTAAATGCTGCACCTGGGAGCAGTAAGCTCCAGCATGAACTGTGCCAGAGTTTCTCGCATTAATATTCACATGTAGACACACCCACTGAGTTGTAAATAGTTATGCTGATATTGGATAAATGACCAACACGTGGATTTGGCAAACCATGGTTTGTTGTATAATACATGGATAACTGAGGCAAATACCACAGCTTTATATAAGAATCACTTTTACTCATTCACACCATATACTTCATTCACACCAAGCCACCTATCCATGGCACTTGGAGTCACACTGCGGTGGCCAGTCGCAGGCTTCTTCGAGGTGATGTTCAGTTGAGAGGGGCGCCAGCTTCAATTCTCTTGACGTGTGGGTAGTCTGGTGTTGCTGGTTAAGGCATCCATCTGGGCTTGGCCTTCACTGCCCTTTTATCTCCATGGGGCAAACTTTGATCGATGCCTGGAGACTTTCACCAATCACCATTTAATTCTTTACTTGTGCTCATCTTTTGGACTCTGTTACCGGTTATGTATTGTTTTTATATTCCAGTCTGCTTGTTTTTCAGTTCTTATTTGTATCATCTCCACATTCTTGGATCGCCACCTGCACTTTATCTTTACAATTGTCTCTGTTTACTCCAAATATTTCATACCAGTCTGTCTAATACCTGTTGCAATTATCCATCTATTAATCATACACCCACAACACACACACACCCCCTTACTGCTTTTTTTTCCACAAAATAGAAGTACATTTAAAATGGCAGCTTAGCATAAGCATACACTATAGCATAGATGGAATACGTTCTAAAATATGTTATAACACTAGTAAAAATAACACCAGTTTTTCATCCTTATTCAGGTCACGGAAACCAACATCAGTGATGAGGTGCATGTGCCCTCTTTATGATCCGAATAGGCAGCTCTGGATTGAACTTGCCCCTATGAGCATACCAAGAATCAACCATGGAGTACTTTCAGCAGGTAAGTGGTGACACGTTATCACTTCAAGGAAAAGCCAGTGGCATGTAAGCTCACCATGCTGTCCAAACGGATATAGTTTGTAGCATAGTTTGCTTTCCAAGAGCAAACTGCACTGAAGCCTGTTGATTTCTATGCAGATTATCCCTTTAATGCTGCTTTGTTTTGTGGTGAATCCATTGGATTCTGAAGATCTGAAAATCACACAGTGATACTTTGTTGTAGCTTGCTACTTTTGTCCCTACAGGAATGTCCTTCTTTATTTATTTTAAATAACTTGGGGTTGCACCTGGTGCACAGTGTTGCTGAATTTGACCTATAGTTTCTGATGAACTATGTTGGAGGGAAAAGGACATGTTTTACAGGCCTGTGAGAAGCGGTTAGTATTCGCTTCAGATTCGGATTCGGGGGATAGTGATTTGATTTCAGTGATTCAAATCACTGTCCCAAGTTGATTTTGGCCAAATCTGATTCGGAGACTTGGCCACAGCCGAATCTCTGAATCGGCCAGGCCCTATCCCCCACCTACTCTCCCAGCCCCATCAATGGCTGCCCCGCCCACCCTTGCCTCCCGGCTCTTTTTAAAGAAGTCCCCCATTCACCAGCTGCTGCCAGGCAGGGGGTAATCCCTACTGCCCCACTCTGCATGGGGAGCTCTGCCAGAAGCCCCGACAGCTGCTGCAGCAGCCAGTGAGTGGAGGCTTTTTTGATAGAACTGGGAGCTGGGGCCGGGCAGGGCAGCCTTGGGTGCTTTGGGAGAGTGGGTGGAGGTCAGGGGGCTGTGGGGAGCAGTGGAGATGGCCCCCCTGCCTGGCAGCAGCCAGTGACTGGGTGGTTTTTTTGGTTTTGTGTGTTGGTGGTGGTTGCTGTTGTTTTTTGTTTTGTTAAAGAGTGGGGACTGAGATGGCAGGCAGGGATCAGCGGGGGCTGGGGGAGCAGGCAGGGGATGGGGCTTGGTGGGGGTCCCGCCCTCATGATCCTCTCCCCCCTCCTCCAGCATGGAGTCTGAGTCCAGGTTCCTTCATCAGCAAGCAGGGACTGCGTGAATCTCCGAAGCTCTCTGAATCAATTTGGAAAAGATTCGGAGAGCTTCGAATCAATTTGGACCTTTTTATTGGTCTGATTTGATTCGGATTCAGCCACCAAATCACCTCCAAATCAAATCGGCACCCGGACCTTCACATAGCCCTAATGTGCACAGCCCTAACTTTTGCCAACCCAGTGTCTGATCTGTGGTATTTTTTTTTTTAAATGTGATATTCCAAGATGTACTTTAATGCCTTGTCACAATCACAGGTATGACTACCACTTTTTAAAATCGCCGTATGTGCTTTGTTTTGCAGAAGGATTCTTGTTTGTGCTTGGAGGTCAAGATGAAAATAAGGAAACTTTAAGCACTGGAGAAAAATACGATCCAGACACCAATTCGTGGAGTTCCCTGCCACCAATGAATGAGGCAAGATCACTACCTAACTGTGTCAACACTTATTGTTCCTGTAATAAATTGGGGTCTGCAGTATTACACCAATGTTAACTTCCAGTCACTTGAAGCCTTCAGAAGCCATAGTGCAGATCACCATACTTGTGCATTTCTTTATTGCCAAGTTTGGATCAGTTATAACTGCAGCCCCTAGGAAACACCTGTTTGTTAGCAAAGAGCTAGCTTTAGAGGTGAAATGCAGAATTTCATTTCTGTTCAGAAAGTACCCTTAATAATGTGGGTTTATTCTCCTTTGCAGAAAGCTTGTATGCATGTCAGTAGGTATAAATAGGATATTTATGTACTGGAGAATCCTAACAGGGATGAAGGGACTGCACCGGAGACCTGTGCTTTAAATTAGAGGATAAAAAAAATCTTGCTCTGGAGAAGGATACTTTTTATTATAACTTTATTTTTAATGGAGACGAATTGCAGTTACAGGCACGGTAGGCAGGATGTGAACTTGTGAATGTCACTGCAACGTGAATTTATTGATGTCTCTTGTAGGCACGACATAATTTTGGTGTGGTAGAAATTGACGGAATTATCTACATTCTGGGAGGTGAGGATGGAGAAAGGGAACTCATCTCTATGGAGAGTTATGACATTTATAACAAGACATGGAACAAGCAACCAGACTTGACCATGGTTAGAAAGGTAAAGATCTATAGCATAATAAGTTAAATTTCAGCAATAAATGCTTGTCTAAAAAATCCTGTTGAGCTGTTTGCACTGTCTGTTGCAACTTTTTCTTAAACCAAAAAATTCTCCAGTGGCAGAGAGGGGAAGTGTGTGTTTTTTCTTCTTTATTCGTCAAAATAAAACTGCTGTTCTAGTCAGAATTTTTTATACTGTCTTGTTTGAGGTGCAGTTTATGGGTATAGCTTGCTGCTTTCCCATAATGCAAACTTGATCAATAATTAATTTTAAAATACTAGAAAGAAGAAACTTGTGCCATGTGTTTTTAATGCATACTGTCATTCTGAAAGGACAGAACAAGTTGAGATAATCTCATTTTATTCACCCTGAATTTTTTAAACTCTACTTGCAGCCAAGCTTGAAGAAAAAGCTACTGCATCTATATCAGGCTGACTAAAACATTTAAGAACAAATTTATTATGGCTAGATCATTTGACTTCATTTTCTAAATAAAATGTAGCAATGAGGTTATTTTTGTGTTATCAGTACTTTGATTCCTGCAAATTCTCCAACAAGAGGGGATTATGAAAAGTAATGAGTTTTCAAAATGGGTGAAACCTCGTATAAACTGAATAGCAGTCCTAATGCCTCCAGCCGGCTGTGAAAATTACTTTAATTTCACTCTGGCTGTACTCTTTACCCTTTGGTCACACATTCATAAGTTAATGAGCTGTTATAGATTGTGGTCACCACCAAAAATTGAACACTAGCTGAGATGCCTTGGATTTATAAGGGGCAGTTTTCAGGGACGGCTGTTCTACTATGTATACGGAGTAGTTGTAAGTGAAAATGAGGCAAGTCCATTTGAACTTGTCTTTATTCTCTTTTTTTTCAACACCCTTACAGCTATTTTCCTTTGAGGAAAGTTTGACGCAGTATTATTATAAACTGCATTCTTAAATTAATTATTCATGTTGCTCAGAATGTGCCTTAATGAAGCTGCCAGAACCTGGAGGTTTGAGTCTTTCACTGTCTCCTCTAAAATACTGAAGGTACTCCATTAACAGGATTCTGTAGATTTCAACTCGTATATATAATATATATATATATATATATTTTTTTTTTTCCAAAGATTGGCTGCTATGCAGCTATGAAGAAGAAAATCTATGCAATGGGTGGAGGCTCCTATGGAAAACTGTTTGAATCTGTTGAGTGTTACGACCCTAGGACTCAGCAGTGGACAGCCATCTGTCCCCTGAAAGAGAGAAGGTGAGTAAAAATGCACACCCAGGTTAGTAGGATGTGTCATTTAAATCCTAAAACAACAAGGCCTTACAAACATGACCCCAGGGTACTTCTGTTTTTAAAGAAACGAATCAAGTTTTAGCACTAACTTGATACTGCTGGCTGCATGGCAGTGGTGTAGACTCAGTAATCAACTTGTGCAGTCATTTTAACTTTGAAGCCTTGGTCCTTTTGTAACTCTGCTAAGCAGTTCTAATGCTGGTAGACAGACCTCCAGGTGGATTCCCTTGCCTTCCTGAGTCATATGGTAACATGGAGATTTTGTGCTGGGGATGTAGCCTAGGAGTGTGGACACGGCCTGGGACCAAGCATTGGTGGGATCTTTAACTTATTTATTTTTTGGCTGTAAGAGTGCCTTGGGCTCTTATCAGTTACCAAACTCCATGGCATAAAATAACTTGCTCTCAAGGCTCAGTGAGTGCTGCTCTGCACAGTGAGCCCAAAGCTGGCTATTGAAGCACTCCTGCTATTCTGCACAATGAAAACAGACATGGCATTGTCAGGATTGCACTTCCTACCAAACTTGAAATTTAGGACTTTGTCCCTGAATGAAAAATTGGTGCTGTTTATTTTTTTGGACGATGTATGCACTGACCTAAATGTTTCTGAACTCCTGATCTGAGCATTTGAATATGAACAAGTAGGGAAATGCACGGAAGGATGTGGGTGGATATATTTCATAGTGCTTGTTTCTTTTCTTTGGCCCTCAGATTTGGAGCAGTAGCTTGTGGAGTTGCGTCAGAACTGTATGTGTTTGGTGGAGTCAGAAGTCGCGATGATAATCAGGCCAGCGAGATGGTGACCTGCAAATCCGAATTCTATCATGATGAGTTTAAAAGGTAACTAGTTCTAGCTGTAGACCGAGCATGTCTCTATCTCGGTTACTTTTATCTTTTTTTATTCCCTTTTGAAGTGTAGAGTGTTATAATGCATCCAGCTTTTCAACAAATGTCAGTTCATTTTGTTGATTTTTTTGCTTCAATGTGAGACCTAAATATTTCTTCTTGTGGCACTAAAATGCTGGTTGTTAGGCATAAGTAGCTGCTTGGAGGTGTTAAATAAAAAAAATTTAAAAACCCAACTCCCCCCACCCCCCGAAAAAATAACAAAAAACCCCCAAAAACAAAAACTCACGCTTTACTTTAAACTCAGTGCACTCCCATGCCAGCCCAGGCATGCCCAGAAGAGGCAGCACGTTACTTGGACCCAGCTCACCCAACAAATGTATAGATCAGGCACGTTAGTGGGGCTGTTTTGATGTTTTTATCTAATAGCTGATTGACTCGGCTTTAGATAAACGTCAAAAAGCCCCGTGAAGCACCTGATATATGCAGATGCTGCGGAGCCGGATCAAAGTAACACACTTCTGATAAAGCATGTATTTTTTTTTTTGTTTTCTTCTTTTCTTTAAATGTCTGCAAGCAGCCAGTGTGCCTCGTTATCACCTTGTTGATCATTCAAAACTTACAAGATCTGATGCCTCCTATCGTTCTTTCTTCACATTTTAATATGCATATGGAAAGCTTAACTACTGGAAACGACTGGATGTTGCTGTTAGAAATGCTAAGAATTTCAGAGTATGCCAAGTGGTAATGAAAGTATGAAAATGCTCACTTGTCTGCGACTAAATAATTAGGCTTGTGGTCTTCTCCAAATAAAATCACAGGAGCTAGGTTGATGTGTAGTTTTAAGCACATGCATATCATTAACTTCTGTATGAAAATATTTTGTCTGCTGCTATACTCAATATGTTCAAGACTTAACTTTTTAATTGAAAGACTTAAGACTTTTTCCCAGCTGTTTTACATTGACAGTTTTTACCATCTACCATTGCTTCTGTGATGCTTTTATACAACATTAGGGAAAAAAAATCTCTTGCTAATGTGGTAATTTAAGACTTCCAGCAATGTTGATTTTAATATATCAAACTTTCCAAAAAGATTAGAAAATCCTGACCTATCCAGATTTGGTTGCAGAGGAGTTATCACTGCCACCTAGTGGCTGTCACACACGTGTTTATAACTGACAGTTTTAAAATTTGGGTTGTGATAAAATTCTTACGAATTCTTACAGTAATTGATAGTAGTTTAAAGTTAATAAGATGACTTTTTGTGAAACCAGTAAAGGACAGAGCAAAGTAGTAATACCTTGACTATCAATCTTCCTTTAAACTGGCTTCAGTTTAAAAAAATAAAAATAAAAAAATCTGAGGCATATATTTAAAAAGAAAAGGTAATCTTTACTTTTACTTGAGTAAATCCCCAGGGCCACACTTTCAAACACCTGGCTTCTGTGACTATACATGATTTAAGTGTACATTCAGGGTCTTGTTTTGAAGTGGGATGAAGTACAAGAGCAAACTATGCCTAGCTCCTCTTGTGCCTTTGAAAAGGAGAATTGGTAAAAAGTAGGATGAAAATTTGACACATTAGTTCAGTTCAGATGCTGTCTTTCCCACTTTGTAACTTCTGCTTCCTCCGCTGGAATTTATGGCATCTTCAGTACCGGGAGTGGTAGCATTTTTGTACAATGGTGCTTACCAGAAGAGGGTGCTGTATTACCATCTTATGTGTTACTATTTTAGATCATAGCTATGAAGATAAGCAGTCTTCACGTGTATTAGATGTGTTCAGAGTATGTAATTTGAACGTAATTTATCACTGACATTTAAAAGACGGTTATAGTCTAGGAGAGTTGTATCTGTTGTAAAAGTGTTATTTATAAAGGGACTCCAATTAAAAGCAAAAGGCAGAACTCTTTATAAAAACTTAAGCATCGGTTATGTTCTTGGCAGAATGATATCTGGAGCATATTACTTCATTAATAGTGTGTGGCAAGTTTCAAAATTTATTCAAAGTGAAGGCAAGTTGGATGCCCTTAAAGCATGGAAAGCTTCCAGTTGTCTTGCTGGTACTGAGTAGGAAGCCATATTCTGGCTCTCTCAAAACCCTGGCTAAAACATTTTATGTATCTTGCTTTGTTTGCAAGTGGACTCCGTCTGTCTCCTTCATATTATATGTTGTCTGTGGCATGCATTTTTGTAACACCGTATAAACCAGTAACACCTTTCCCTCCTAAAGTAAACCGGTTACGTAGCACGTAGTTTGTGACGCATACAAATAAGAACAATTTACTTCTGTGTAATCCATAAACTGTACCCTTAACTGTTTAGTACTAATTTTATTATAGGACTGTTGATTTGTTCCCACAATAATGGATCATGTTGTGCAAGTATATGATGTAGGTGATAATGGGTTGTCAAGGAAACAGCATACCTTTTGAAGATCTCTATGCAAAAAGTCATACTTCCTGTAGAGGAGACAAAGGCAGTATACATCAGCATTTTTGTCGAATTAAAGTACATTGATACTGGAAACACGTCTTTCCTGAGTGAAGCTGGAATAGCACAAGGATAGGGGGTGTGCCATATGACCTAGGATGGGGATTTTTGCTTCTGTTGCATATGGTGCAGCAGTAGAGAGCTTTCAGCATAGTTCACATACTCTAGTGGTGTACTTCTAGAAAGCTTTTTGGCTGTTTGTATTAGGTGTTGATTTGGGCTGTGTTGGTGTACTAAACTATGGAGAGCCAATAGTGATATAGACCAAAAGTAAACCCCAGTCCTTTTCCTCCTTTAAGCTGTCTAAGTGGTATTTTCTCTTAGATACTGAGTGCGTTCCTATTTCCATCCAGTCAGCAGGCACGAAACCATTAAGGGCATTTTTATACATGCTTCTGACACAGCGCTGGGTGCTTTTAATTAGCAAGCCATGCTAATAAAAAGCGCCCGCACGTCGCGTGGATCGGCAGCGCAGTGCACCCCCACGCTGAAAAAACGGTGGTGGTGCACTTTGAACTAAAGCTCATTGAATGTGTTTTAGTTCAGAGCACACTGCTGCCATTTTCTCAACGTGGAGGCACACTGCGCTGCTGATGCACGTGATACGCAAGGCTGCCAGAGTGTGTCAGTTTACGTGCACCAGCAGACTTGATTAATCGAATCTTCTCCCCACATGTGTGTAAGTGCCCTCAGATGCCTAGGTACATCAGGCATCTCCAGTTTGTCCTGGTGCTGTCTATCGCACATGCTGAGAAGCAGTCTAGAATGGCTATCTTGGCATCTTTCTCCCAAAGTTTGTAATCCAGTTTGGCTTGGGATGTGCACAAACTCGCCCCAAGTCCATGATTCCTTATGTCACAGGAGGGAATTGCACCAAGCAGGATTTGGAACTAAGATCACACATGCAGAAAGAAAACCCACCTACTTTTTGGCAAAAAGCCCAGTGATTAGGGGCATTGGCTAGGAAATGAGAGCTCTGTGTGCTCAGCCCTGAACTTGCATCTCCCACGTCCCAGAAAAAATGACCCACCTACCAGGCTATGTGCTATTGCTGTAGGCCAGCATTCCCAACAAGGCTGTGAGGGCATTCTCCATTCCTCCTGGTGAAACAGCTGGTGGGTAGAAAGAAACTTGGGTTATGGGATCAAAAGGAGAACATGCTTTCAGCAAGGAAGCCATCTTCAGGGAGGGATAGAAGCCTGGGTTCTGTCCCCTGCTTCCAGTGCTATTTTTAAGCAATTTACATGAAATAGTCATTGGACGAAATGCAAACAGCATTGGGAGCAGGGGGCAGATCTCTGCTATTGGGTAAAAGGTGGATGGGTTGTCTGTCTTGTTGCACCGTGCTTTACACTGAACATCTCTCTCCATGTTGGGATCCAGCTCATGCAGAAGTAAGCACTTTCTCACAGCCCTGAGTCAGAGCCAGGAGCTCAGATACACCCCCAAAGGCTAACATTTCCTGCTTGGAACTGACTCTGCTCTGTGCTTGCATGCTCAGATGGGAATGGGAAAGCTGTGCATCTTGCTAAGGAAGAATAGGATTGTTCTGTGCCGAGGCACGCGTGCATGCTTTTGGGTGAACTGGTGCATAAACGTAGACATCTTGTAGACAGGATATGGACTTAAAGGTTTCATACCATCTCACCTTCACTCATGTTAATAATAGGGGCTTCCCCTTCTGCACTTTGCTGGATGACTAAGCATGCATAGAATATTAGGTGGTGTATTTGTAAGTTTTCATTGATACTGTCATAGCAGGAGAGCACATTCAGACTGGGCCCCGAAATGAGCTTAATAGAGTAGCAAAGAAAAGGGCATTGCCTGTCTTGGCCTACAAGCTCTGACTAAAACGGAAACGCAGAGTTCGCTATGTTTGTCATGACAATTGAGGTAGCTATCTATTTGTTTCAACATCTGCTACCTCTAACTGTCTTTATAGTGTCATGAAGTGCATGTGAATAGAAACTAATGGCTATTGCCAAATTTCCAGCTCTGAACTTGGCCATCAAGTATTATTTATAGGTGCTATAATAGACATTCATGATTAGAAATGATCGCTGCCTGCATCCCTCTCACACCTTCTGTATCCTTTTTAAATCCTAAATCTTATTACCCAAGAACTTGGGCTCTTGGATAATCTGGCATTGATTGGATTCCAGGAGCAGGACCTTAATTGGTTAACCTGCCTCACTTTGACTTCGGCTAACCCAGATGATTTCAGTGCAGGTGGCTTTTTTTCCCTCCAGATGACCTCTTATCGGTTACTATGAGCTTTAAAATGATTGGCAGTATTCTCAGATATCTTCACACAACATTTAGTTGAATTTTGGCTGACCACGTATAGGAAATTTTATTTTATTTTATTTTATTTTTTAGACTATGGATTGTTTAAGCACCATGTTGTGGAGTGTACTGGTTAAAACTATGTTGATCCATTTTTAGACTTGACTGTGATTCAGACATCAGATTTTAAGTGCCTGGAACTCCTACTGAAAC